GTTATGTGGCTGATGCTGATGATGGTGGTGACGATTTATTGTGGCGATGATGATGACGATACTGCCGATACTGGTGATGATGCTGCTGATGTTTATGCTGATTATTAGGCTGATTATGATGATGCCGATCATGATTATGATCATGATGCTTATTATGATGAGTATGATGATTATGATGGCGAATGTAATGACGATGGTGGTGCTGATATTGATGATGCTGCTGATGCTGCTGTTGATGCTGTTGATGATGCTGATGATGCTGTTGGCGATGATGTAGAAGAAGAGGATGGTGGTGACGAGGAGGAGGAGGAGGATAATGATAATGATGATGCTGATTATGATGATGAGGAGGAGGTGGAGGAGGAGGTGGAGGGGCCTGGGACAACTCAGAGTTTTTTCTGGGAGATTAGGGGGCCAAGCAAACGCGCTTTCAAATTTGATATCAAACTGATGCAGATGCGCAGAGGTCAGTTGCTCAGCCATGCCTTTGAGTGTATCAGCTTGCCCGCCGGGCCACCAAAAACGCGCATGGCTTGGGGCAGCAGCGCTCGTCCTCGGCTCCGGGAAGAGCCGAGCTGCCAATCGGCGGGGAGCTCTTTAGGCACCTGGGCCACCCGCAGGGCCGCGAAGATTATCGCTCTTGGCGCAAGGCCCCAGAGTTGTGCGTTTCGCCAGTGGCGGCGCGAGAAGCACAGCGCTTGGCGCTCCGCGCGGCGCGGAGCGCGAGGCTGGCCGACCCTGGCGGTCCGGCGGGCTCGGTCCGCCTCGACGGCGGCGGCGGCCCCAGGGCGCGGGCGGTCGAGGTCGAGCGCTGGCGGTGGCCCTGGATCGATGCCGAAGGCCGCGCGCTGCCGAAAGCCGCGCGCTGCCGGAGAAGCCGCGAGCGCCCAGGGCCGAACAGGCCGCGCAGTTCATAAGCCTCAAACAGAATGATCCGTATCCCTGTGACTTGCATCACTGTCTGTGGTGCCGATCTTCAGGCTCCCCCCCAGTTTCTGAGGGTGCATCCTGAATATTGTCACCGCATTTGGGCTTGTCATTCTTAGGGACAGGGATCAGCTCGATGCTTGATGGTTGTGTGAGATGCCATCGCCGACGCGACACGCCTTGGGCAGGGCCAGGACCAGGATACGTCGCTCCTCAGCGTTCCGGAGCGCATTCAGATCGTTCCGGAGCTCTCTGGAGCGCTTACGGTGCCCGATACATCTTCCAGAACCGCCAGATCTTGGAGATGCTTGGTTGTTCGATTCTCTCCCAGTCCCCGCTTCGCAGGGTCTGTTTCGATACGATTGATTCGATGTCATATCAATTCTGGTCCGCTCGATCAGATCTGATGTTGACCGTTGCCGTGTTGACCGTTGCTTGCTCGGCGATGTTTTGCCCAGCCGTCCGGAGTCGATTCCGACTCCGTGGCGATGCGGCCCAATTCGTTGTGTGGTCTTTCATGGGAGCCTCAGAGGGTCCCAACAATTCTTGCGGTTTGGGGGGGTTGGTCTGGATTCCTTCGGATTTGGTCGACACCTGGAAGAAATCTAGACGAGCGGGTACGTTCATGATAGTGCCGCGGAGGTCCACAAAGGCCAACAAGGTTCACTCGGGCGGGGCCAGGACGAGGATACATCAGTTCCAGAGCGTTCTGGAACGCTCTCAGGGCGGTCCGGAACGCTCTGAGAAGGCCGCGGCGCCCGAGACATCCTCCAGAGCCGCAGGGCGTTAGAGATGTTCGATTCATTTCCGTTCGAAGAAGAAATGCTCGTCCTGGTTTCGTCTTCTTGCTCGACCAGGATTCGATTCACGCTCCGATCCGATCCGATTCCCCGACTCGCTGCTGACGGGTCCCCGCTTCGCCTTCGCTCGCGGCGCGACGCCCGGCGCGCACCGCGCGGCGCGCGGCACGCCCCGCGGGTCGAGAGCGTCCCCCCCCTTGCCGAGGAGGCCGCGCACAGCAGCCGGGCTCCTCCAGGATCCCCAGCGGGGGGCGGCGGGGGGCGGTGCGCGTGCGCGCGCGCAGGCTGGCCGGTGTCCCTCACTGGTCGGTCCTGCGTCGTCCTGCGGAGAGCGGGTCCTGGGGTTGTGGAGGCCGTTTTTGGGGACCCGGGACTGTCTGAAATCGGCTCAGGACGACGATGTGGTCCTGGCGGATAGCCCCGGAGTCCAGGACCCGTTTCCCGCAGAACCCGCTTGCTTTCCACCAGTGGAGAGTCACCGCCACCGCTGCTGTCGCGGCTGGATTCGCCTCGGAGCCCTGGTCAGAGCGCTCCCCAGGAGAGGTACGGGGAGCAGCGTCAGGTGGTATTCTTTTGATCCGCTTCGTCGCCCGTTTTGTGCTGGCAGTCGCCCTTGCGCGCGATCCGCTGTCTTGCGCCCGTCGGTCCGCTGCCTCTGCTACCGCCTACGTTGTCCGTCGCCGCCTTGGCCGCGGATGCCAGCGTCGTCCGCCTTCTCTCCCTTGTCCTCGTCCTGATCCTCGTCGTCTTCGTCGTCCTCGTCGTCGGAGCGTTGCGAAACACATCGTGCGGTTATGATCGTGACGTTATTTGGTCACATGCTATAACGGCTAGCGGCTCCAGAAGTTCATCGTTTACAAATGGTATTCGACGACAACCATATGAATTTACCGATCGGTTATGATGCTCTTCTTCCCTGCCTCATATACTGCCCCTTTTCTCTGTGATCCTTTTTCTAGTCCTGTTCAGTGCCATTTATCGCAGAGGAAAGACGCCTCGTCTGGATAGACCTGCAAGTCACTTTCAAAGCGCTGGCATAGATGGCGTCTGCACGGATATACATTGCATCACCGTTTGCCCACGCGTAGGAAATCTATGTGGGTTGTGATGGTGTGCGGCATGCTGCCATACCAGTGTGCATTGTTGATTTCAATTGTTAATTGTTTCCTGGGCAGTTGCCGCGTATTGTCAAGTACGTATGTGTGCGGAAATACTTTGGACATGAGCACACATATAAGTGGTAGTTATGCGTTTCGTTTTCGAAACCGAGTGTTACCAACAACCTAGCGTGGCTATGTCTGACGCATTATGTTGTCGATGTGGCATTGGCATTTCCATTCTGCGATCGTGTCCAACGGTTCTCCCTCCTCTTCGTCCTCGTCCTGCCACCCTCCTCCTCTCTCCTCCCCCCCCTCCTCCCCCCTCCTCTCTCCCATCCTCTTCGCCGTCCCTCCTCCCCCTCCCTCCTCCCGCTGCGCGCCCCACGGTTGCCCCGCCGCCTCCCCGCCGCCGCATCTTCTGGCCCCGAGGCGCCTCCCCCCTTCAAAGGCTCCCCCCCCCGCGCGCGGACGCGCCGCGACGCGGGCCGCCGTACTCCGAAGCGGCCGGTGCCCAGCCTCTCCGACGGACCCACTGAGTTTTCTCCCTCGCCGGAGCGCGGCTGCTGCTTCGCCACTCCTCGTGCCCGTGCCTCTTCCTCCTCCTGCTCCTGCTCCTGCTCCACCTCCTCGTCGTCGTCGTCGTCCTCCCCGTCCCCCCATTTCTCCTTCTTCTCCCGCTCCTCCCGCACCCTCCTCCATCTTCCCCCTCCTCCTTCATCCTGCTCCTCTTCTTTCTTCCCGCTCCTCCTTTTCTTCCTCCTTCTCCTGTCTCCTCCTCCTCCTCCTCTCCTCCGTCCTCTGTCCTCTCTCCCTGTCGTCCGTGCTTCGTCGTCCTGCTCCTCGGCCTCGACCTGCCCTCCCGAGCTCCGCTCCCCCCCCCGTCGCCCCTCCCCTCCTCGCCGCTAATCCCCCGCGCCGCTCTCTCTTGCGCGAAAACCTGGCCAGGAGGCCCTGGGAAGCTGCCCCTCCCTCGTCCTCGCTCTCGCTTTCGCTCTCTTCTCCGCCCTCCTCCCCAACCCTTCCCCCTCGCCCGCGTCGTCACCGTCGTCGGCCCTGCGTTCCCGCGCTCTTGCTCGGGGTGCCGCCGCCCCCTGCCCCTGCTGTTTCTAGGTGTTCCCCATGGTTCGTTGGTTTGCTTGTTGTGCTTCCTCGATGGTTTGCTGCTTTCTGCTGTCTGTTTATTGTTGCTCGTTTGTTGCCTTCAGTCTTCAGTGTGTCCCTGCCCCCTGCTCCCACCCCGACCTGTTTCGGTGCCATCCCTCGCTCGTTTGGGCCGCCGGAGACGGTGCAGATGCCGCAAACCATAATCGGCAGCCCCCCGCGGCACGGGCGTCCAACCCCACTGGATCCCCACGTCCACTCAGGCACGGGCACACCTTAGGGGTATGATCTTTCGAGATCGAGGTTCGAGCTTTTCCGAAGGGCGTTTTTCCTGCCTCGGGCTTCCCACCACCAGCTGCGCCTCGCCGAGAACGTTCCGGGGTTGCCCAGCTCGTCCCGAACGGCCACCAGGGAGCCGAGCTATGACGCTCAAACTAGAGGCGTCCCCCAGACATCCGATGCGGTGTTTTGTTTTTTTTCGCAGCGTGGCTCACCAGAGGTCTGGACCTCTTCCCTGGGACGGGCTCACCCTGAGTCGCTCCTTTGACGGTCCGGGCCCCTTGCGAGGGCCCCTTGTCAGGGCCCCCAGGCCGAAAATGCACAAAGCGCAAACCCTTCTCGTCGTGAGTTGTTTCGCAGCACTCTTGGGGGTGATCGGCTCAGGGTGATGGGCCTGTTTTCCACCATCACCACCATAAGTTGGAGGGGGGAAGGAGGTGGAGGAGGAGGAGGAGGAGGAGGAGGAGGACCCCCTCCCCCTCCAACTTATGTTGGTGGTGGTGGAAAACAGGCCCATTACAGGGGGGGATGCATCGTCCATGCCTCGCCGACGGGGGCCCGATCGGCCCACTCGCCGTCCAGGGCCGTGCGGCGCGCGGATTCGCCACCGAGAGCTCATTGCCGATTTGCCTACCGATCGCAGCCCGATGTTCCCCCTCCTGAGCCAGTGCCCTGGTGGTCTTTCGGGTCACAACTCGGCTCTCTGGCTGCCATTCGGGACGATCCGGGCAGCCCTGGAACGCTCTCGGCAAGGCGCAGTTGCTGGAGAGCCGCCGAGAAGCAACGGGCACATCCGAAAGAACCTCGGCCCTCGAACCTCGAGCCTCGAACGTTGCCCCTCAGCACGGGTGCTCCGCCCAGTACGCCCCTCGCCTGTGCGGGGCGGCGGATCGCCAGTCGAGCTGGCCGTGCGTCGTGATGGTGGCTGCCATGGCCGGCACTCCCACGTCCGCCAGGTTCGGCGGCTACTCGGTCGACAAGTCTGAGGACATCTTCTGGGTGGGATATTCATCGAGGGGCGGGCGACTATCCTTCCGACGGGGCCTGACAATCCCTCCCCCTTCTCCACCTCCACCTCCACCTCCTCCTCCTCCTCCTCCTCCTCCTCCTCCTCCTCCAACCACCCCTCCACCCGTTCCGACAGCACGTGCCCAACCCCCCAGCGGATCCAATGGGGGCGATAATTTCCCCATCCAGAGTAAGGGCACGGCGGCGCAATCAGGGACAATTTTCGGGGGGGAGCGGGTTGGGCCCGAGGGTCTCCGTTTTCTGGTATCTCCGTCGGTTGCCCAGCAGTTCTCCAGCCTCGGAACGCCTTTTCAGCAGCTGTCAGCCACGCGCAGAGGGGTTATGGGGAGGGGGGAAGGCTTCTTAGAAGCACCCCTCCTTGTTAGAAGGCGCGGCCTTGTCTAAAGATGTAAGGCCGGCGCCTTCTAAGAAGCAGCCTCTTTCTAAGAAGCCTTCCCCCCTCCCCCTACCCCTTGTGCGCGCCGCCAAAGCTGCGTCTCGTCGAGGGCGTTCCCAGGCTGCCTGGATCGTCCCCAACTGTACCCAGAGAGCGGAGTAGCGACCCGAAAGCCAGGGGGCAATGTTGGGGGGGGATAGCTCAGGGGAGAACGCATCGACCCCCAATCGCCCGTGAATCATCGATATGGGCTTGACAGCCCAGACCGCCCAGGAAAGTGCAGTTTCTTTACACATTGGAGGCCAATCGCCGATCTATCGGCGATGTATCGGCGATTCAAGCTCGATGTTTCACTCCCTGAGCTGGTCCCCCCTAATGCTCCTCGCGCAAGTGCTGAGAAGAGGGGTATTCTGGGCGTTCGGTGTGACGACGGGATAGGATGACAGCGATGCTTGAGTGGTGCAGTTGGTGTTGGCGTGTGTGGCGACGCTGAAACGAGTCGCTGAGTCTGGCCCTACTAGCCTTCTTTGCTACGTCGCAGCTCGATGATTCACTTACCGTTCGATTATTTTCGACCAGTCAGCCACAGGCTGGCATGCATCCTGCCAAGCTCTTCATCGGTGGCATCACGAGGCACACGACGACCAAGCAGCTGCGCGATCACTTCTCCCGCTACGGCCGTGTACTCGATTGCGTGGCATGCTCAGTAGGTCTTTCTGCCGCAAGACTGCCCAGAGGGCCTGGAAGGTGCACAGCGGAATGCCTATGCGTGCGTACCCATGGAGTGAGCACAATACTCAGACGCCGCTGGGGGTTTGAGGGGTGGAGGGGGCACGGCAAGGAAATTTGGCGAACAAGCGAGATTATGCGGTGGGGTTGCCTTTTTCGCGTATGGCTCATTCCTCATCAGCGCGCGTTGTGGCACCACTCTGTTGCCACCACCAGCAGCGGCGCCGCAGGGTACTGTCCTGACCGCGCGCACCGGCACCCAGCCTCCTGCTTTCCGCGGGTGCGCGAAGATGGACAACCCTTCTTTGGGCCCCACTGAGCCTGGAGGGCTTCCCCATCCAGGGGCGAGGAGCGGCGCGAGGGCGCGTTTCGCGCAGCGCGGAGCGCGCGGCGCGAGAGTTTTTGGCGGCCCAGAGATCCCAGGGGAACCAGGCTCTACACCGACGCCGAGCCTGGCCCGGCCAGTCCAGGGCCTGTGGCTGGCTCACGTGCTTGCCCCTCCTGCCCGAGCGGGGAGTGCGGATACTTGCGCCCAACCTGGACCTGATGCGGGCTCGGTCAGCGCATTTCGGGCCAGTAATGGAGGGGACTTGAGTGGGGGTGGAGAAGGTCCCCGAAGGGTCCCTCCAGGGCCCCTTTTGAGCATCTGCTGGCTCCAAAAGGGGCACTCTTCTTCGCCTCTCAGTTAGGTCCCCCCCATTACCACCCGCCCGACCGTTGGTGCCTGGGCTGGTGTCTACGACGCCCATGGCGACGAGATCTATGCATGTCCCTTTGCCTGCGGCAAGTCCCGCCACTGTACAAGCCCTGTATTTCGGGTGTCGACTAGTCGACGGTCAGATCCGAGACGAGGATAAGGACGAGGATGGGGATGTGGATGGGGGTGAGGATGGGGCTGACGATGATGACGATGATGATGACGATGATGATGCTGCTGATGATGATAATGAGGATGCTGAGGATGATGCTGATGACCATTATGATGGTGATGATAGTGGTGATAGTGATGCTGCTGATGATGATTATGACAATGGAGCTGTCGATGACAAAGCTGATGCTGCTGATGATGATGCTGATGATGATGCTGATGAATGATGATTGAGATGATGATTGAGATGCTGATGATGATAATCATAATGATGATGATGATAAACATCCATGATTTTGATTATGTGTATGATGACGATGATGATGATGGTGACGACGATTCCGAGGATGAGGATGACCTTGTTGTTGATGATGGTAGTGGTGGTGGTGGCGGTGATGATGAAGATGACTTTGATGTGATAGTCTGACTCTGTGCTTCTGATGATGATAATGATGATGAGGAGGAGGATTTCGATGACGAGCAGGACGTCGAGAAAGCTGCTGCTGCGACTGCGATTGATGCTGATGATGCCACTGATGATGAGGATGAGGTTGCGTACGAGGATGGTGATGCTGATGTTTATGATGTTGATGAGGCTGATGATGACGCTGGAGTTGATGATGCTGAAGAGGATGATGATCAGGATGAGGATGATTATGATGGTGATGATGATGATGGTGATGATCATACGGATGATACTTATGATGGTGATGATAGTGATGATGCCGATGCTGCTGAAGATGCTGACGACGATCTCGCTGGTGGTGATGATGATGACGACGATGATGTTAATGACGACGACGACGTGACATTGACGATGATGATAATGATGCTGATGCTGATGCTGATGATGGTGATGATGGTGATCATGGTGATGATGGTGGTGTTGGTGATGCTAATGCTGATGGTGTGATGATGTGGTGATGCGATTATGACGATAGCGATGATGAGGATGATGATGATAATGATGATCCTGACGATGCTTATGATGAGGAGGAGGAGGCGGAGGATTGTTGCTGCTACTTGTGTTGTTGATGGTTAGGTTGATGATGAGCGTGTTCAGGATGATGGTGCTACTGATGATAACGATGCCTCTGTCGATGCTGATGACGAAGATGCTGATGATGATGATGATGATGCTGACGAAGCTGATGCTGGTGATGATGATAATGATGATGTTGCTGATGATGATGAAAATGATGACGACGATGATGATGTTGATGCTGATGCTGATTATGACGAGGCTAATGTCGTTTGCTATTGGTTGGTGTATTCGTATTATGGTATAATTAGTACTGATTGTTACTTAAATCATTGGCATGCTTATCCGTATGACTATGGTGCTCATAATGATGGCATTGGTAAGGGAAATGATGCTGCTGCGGATAATTCTAACGACAATGATGCTGATGATGTTGATGATGCTGGATATGATATTGATCACGATGATCATGATGATGCTGCTGCTGATGATGATGATGATGAACATGATGATGTTGTTGTTTACGGTGATGAACATTATGATGCTGATAATACTGGTGGCCGTAGTGGCGACGGCGGCGGTGGTGGTGGTGATGATGATGAGGAGGAGGAGGACGAGGAGGAGGAGGAGGATGGCCAAGAGCTGGGTTTGGACGCACGCTCAAAAACCCAGGGGTGTACAACTGCCTGTCCCCGTCCGCTCTTTGCCCGGAGTGCCAGGGGAGTAGGATTACGGGGGAACAGGCCAGGGACTGCAGGGGGGCAGACGATGATATTCACACGCCTTCACGGTGCAGTCGCGTGACGACGATTTCGTTCCTTTTTCCCTGGGTGTGTACCTTGTACAAGTACCATGTGCCCTGTGTGAAGCTTCGGACACTTATTCGCCAGGTAGTTAGCTGTATTCCGCCAGCGCTAAGGAGAATTACTCTGATACCTGGAGGGGGCATTGGACGAGGATGAGGATAACGGGGAGGAGCGAAAGAGCTATGTTTTGTGGGGTTGATTATCGTGCTCAGGCGCCTGCTGTAGTTTGACACCTCGGATGGCTCGGGGGCTCTGGGGGACCTCATCTCCTCAGTTGGTGCCTAGTATTTTTTGTTCCCAGTCTGCTACCGTCGTGGTGTCCATTTCCTTCGCGCAACATGCCAGTTCTGCAGCTGCTCCAGGTTTCGGCCAGCGCTCAAGCCAGGGCTCGTTGGCCACTCATTTTGAATCCTGTCGCACATGTTCATGGGCTTGGAGCTGGAAACGAGCATCGCGCGAGATCTGATTCCACAGTGAATCGACACAAGTAGGAAGGAAGAGGTGTAGGAGGAGGAGGAGGAGGAGGAGGAGGAGCAGGAGGAGGAGAAGGACGATCGAGGATCGAGCTGGAGGAGGGTCGAGGAGGAGGGTCGAGGAGGAGGAGGAGGAGGAGGAGGAGGAGGAGGAGGAAAGCCGTCACTTGTGACACCTTTGGCCTTCACAATTTGAGGAGCTGTTATGGAACTCTTCTGGACCGTGTTGGGGCTGGCTTGGCCTCCTGTGATGAAGTCTTGGGGGCCCCTTGGGGCCATCCTGGGCCAGCCTTGGGGCTCTCTTGGGCCGTCTTGTGGGTCGTCGTGGGGCCGTTGAAAGGCCTTCTAAGGCCGTCTCGGGTCCCACGGGAGGCTCTTTTGGGCCTTTTTGGATGCCTCGTGGGGCATCGTGGACCTCTTGGGCCATCTTGGGAACCTGACCTGTTTGGGGCCATCGTGGAGGCTTCTTTGGCCTCTCTGACATGACGCAAGCCCGAAACGGCGAGAACGAGAACGTCATTCAACATCCGCAGAGGATCCAGGAGGTCCTCTTGTGGCCCTTTTGGGTCCTCTTGGAGGCATCCTGGCCCATCGTGGGGCCGTTGTAGGCCGCCTTGGGGCCGTCTTGGGCCGTCTTCGAGGCATCTGAGGTCCTCTAGGTGCCCTTGTTTGCCTGCGTGGGCCGTCTTGGAAGCTCGAGACGTAGATCCATAGTTGTTTTAACGACAGATCGTCTTCTCGGGAGCGCGGACCCTTGTTTTTTGCGAGGGCTCGTGGCCTCGGGAGGGGGGCGGTGAGACGCGGCAAGGAGGGGGGGGGGGGCGTAGAATGCAGAAGCCCTACCAGAGAGCCCTTGGCAGTCTGCCACGCCCCAGCGTGCACGAGGCACGGTGGCGGCCTCGCTGCCCAAGGCCTGGCCCATCCCAGGCCTGGGGTCGGTGTGTACGTGCCTCCCCGGCCGGGCCAGGAGGGCGTGTACGGTAGGTTCGTGTCGTGTCGACCTGTTGTGACCCCGCCGCCGGCGTTCAATGTTGAACGCCGGCGGCGGCCCAGGGCCAGGCCTGGGGCAGTGGGTCTGTGCAAGGGAAGGCTCGCGGCGTGTCGACCAGTGCCGACGGATCCGGCAGGGAGGAGCAATCGGCACTCCCCCGCTCCCCCCAAACTCAGGGCTGGCACGCGCGGGGGCGGCTGCGGTCGGAGTGGAGCTCATCAGACCCACCGCCAGCTTTGAACAATGGGGGGGAGGGGGAGGCGTCGACCGATGAATGTGGCATGCGTGTTCGTTATTTCTGTTCTAGGCCTGTCCGGCGCTGCGGACATGGCCGATCGTTCAAGGTTGAACGATCCTCGCGGTGTCAGCAAACAGCGCCGAAGTCGGCGCGACACGAACCTGTCGTAGATCTCGTCGTCCCAGCGCGAGGAGGTCCGGCTCTCGGGCCAAGCCTCGGGCCCCCAGCGGCCGCTCGGGACGACCCGGGCGCCCTTCCGAGCGCCCTCGGCGGGGCGCAGGTGCTGCGAAGGAGCCTCCCGCGGCGAGGTGCCTCCCCAGGAGCTCACAGAAAGACCCCGGGGGAACGCCCAAGGCTGGAGCAAAAGCGCCCGTCGAGGAAACGTGAACATGAGTTGAGGCAACGTGCATTAGTGACAGGTCCCGTTTCCAAACGGAATCGATGCGCTCCGTCGCCAGATGAGGCGGCCAGCGCTGGCTCCATCTGTTGGGGGGTACCTTCCTCGATCCATGGATCTGGCGCCCGCGCGGCAGATCCATGGATTCCTAATCCATTGTGGCGTGTGCCCGAGCCTTGAACCGAAGCGTCCTCGCATCCTTTGGGGTCC